AATTCATGGAAATCTTGACAAAGACAGAAAATAATATTATACGTACCAGTAGTTCAAATAGAACCAAAACCAATTGCTAGAACATTTAAAACTGAATACTTTTAAATCGCTAACTACGTTCAAGGGATGTCGAGCATAACAAAGGCATAGGAGGCAAATTGGAAGTGTGTGTGTGTGTGGGGGGGGGGGGGGGGGGTCAGGGTGACTTAATAACTGTACATGTACATGTAGCGTAGGACACACTGTATTGTAGTGTCAGGGAGACAGGGCAGTGGGGAGGGGGGTCAGAGTGACTTATTTTAGTTAAAACTAATAAAACTGTACGTGTAGCACAAGACACACTGTGTTGTACTCTATCAGCTGATTATTGTGCAGGTCCCTTAATTTTACTTGTGAGGATTCTTCTTTATTATAACCCCGTCCCCCCACTATATGAAATAACCATTTAAATAGAACCGCAGGAGTTGGCCTCACATCTATGGAGATCTGTTAATTGCTATGGAGATTGCCAGGTTCTATGTCTTAAACTCTGCACACGGAAAAGAATGAAACGACTCCATGTTGTAACTTCAGCAGAATATGTTTTGCTTAACTAAAAGTCACATGGTACAATAAAAACCACTTCTCAGCCTCAGTCCAATCTTCTCACCTCCTAGTCTCTCTCTTTCTCTCTCTAGTCCTCCGCCTAGTTTCCCTCAATATTTATCTTAACATACTTTTATGCTAACTTTATAAGTTAAATTGTCAATCAGATAAATTATAAACTAATTGGTTAATTGAGACACAAGTCCACCCCCTCATTGTGGACGCTCCCAATAACTCCATGTGATCAAGATCTAACGCATTACCAGTTGAAACAAATGACATTAAAGTTTGAACTGCTAGGTGAGAATTTTTATCTAAAGCTACTCACATCGTAGCTTTCCATTTATAATTTTTTGCAATTTTTTTTTCAGACAGAAAGACTTCCCTTTATTGAATTAATACTACACCTTGTATGAAACATAAATATTAATTTTTCCAATACGGTGTTCCCTGACACATTATGATGTACCGGTAGTGGCAAGGAGACGGGAGAGCGGGAGGGAGTGTCAGGGTTGACTTATTAACTGATTCAACTGCACAGGTATCACAGGACACACTATTGTGCTCGAACAGCTGATCATGGTGTACTGACAGGGACAATCAGTAACCAGAGAGGAGTGGGGGGAGGGGGGAGATAGGAGAGGTCAATGGCATTATTGATAGGATCTTACCAATTCATAATAGTAAAGAACAAGTTGAGGAGTAAATGGGAGATAAAAAAAGAGTTCGGGATATTAAACGGGTATATCAAGCTGTGTCTGAGAGAAATGGCGGCTTTAAGGTGGGTGAGGTAGTGGGTGGGGGGGGGGGGAGAAAACTGGACCAAATCACCTCAGTATGAAATATCGAAGATTTGATCCAAAAGTCAGTTCTAAAGTAAACTTATTTTAATCCATAACTGCCTTCAGATGCCATTTATAACATTTCTTTTTCACATGATGATCACCAGTCAATAGTACTCTAAATAACTACTGTTTCCGTTCTTTGGACTCATCACCTGACAGACGCATGACGGGGTAATAAACATCAGGGCCCCGTATCTCGAAAGCTTCGCTATGTTGCGCACGTGCGCAAGCGTCTCGATTCCATAACTCGCCCATAATCGTCCCATATAATACATTGTAACCTCTATTTGATATAGCGATTCGCAATACTCGATGCTTTTGAGTTACGGGACCAAGACAAGTTCATCACAGATCAGATATCTGCAAACACGTACTGAGATTACAAACAATGGGAAATATTTGACAGATCTTTGTCAAGGAGGGGTAAAAAGTGTGCAGCCTATCTGTAATTCACATGATTAATGTACAGTAGATGGGCAAAATACTTTTAAATGTACTTCTATGCACATATCCTAACAATTCTGGATTTTCAGCAGGAGGGAAATCTGGCAAGAAAGAAATAACATCCACATCGAAAAGATGATGCTGATCTGTGAACAGTGTCGTATTGTCGTAGTTAGTACCTTGTCACTAATCACCCCTGCAGAAGTTACTGTTGTCCCCAATTGATGCAAGGCCACTTGTACTAAAAACCATATCAAATATAGTGCACACTATCACTATTGGCATGATACAGTTTCCACAAATAATTTCAAGGTCACCATCACCTGATCATCTGCTTCCACACTATAAAGAGTGCTTCAGACGAGTTGCCTTACATTTGACTATTGAATTATTTACTGAAAAACTTGCCTTGTGCTTTACATCGTCAGTATGGCCGAGGCGTTGGCAGCAGCTTTCACAGATAATCTCTTGACATGTAGCATCTGTCTGGGAGAGTATGAGGACCCCCGTGTGCTGCCTTGCTACCATACATTTTGCTATGGTTGCATATGTGACCATGCTACGCAAACTGTGTCTCGGGACAGGACATTTTTGTGTCCCCTATGCAGAGAAGAGATATTATTTCCAAGAGAAGGGCTTGCGCTTAAAAAGAATCATCTTATTCATAAGGCAAAAGATCTTCTAAGTCAGCGACAGCAGCATGAAGTCTCATCTCCAACCATAGACACTGATGTATGTTATGTGACGCAAGCCGTTACACAAATGATGAGCAAATGTGAGAAGCATCCTACAAATGATTTAAAATACTACTGTGAAGACGATGATAACGTTGTTTGTGGTGACTGTATACCAAAAGAACATTACAGACATGGTATTGTGCCAGTTGAGAACGTGGCGAATAGCAATCGAAAAAATATTAAAGCTGTCCTTATGAAAATTGAAACAAAACTTGGCATGTTAAAAGAAACAGTTGCCAATGACAGAACCAATGAATTGGAGGAAATCAATACGGAGGCCACCATCAATAGAATTAAAGAACAGGCTCGATCTATCCATAGACTGGTTGAAGTGAGTGAGCACAAACTGATATCAGAGGTAAATTTTGCTTGTGATATTAGAAAAAAGCAGAAGGAGGCAAACAAGGACACCTTCGAACTGTACCATGCCTCCTTACAAAGTGCCTCTAGATTTGCCCAGGAACTTATAACAAATGGCTCTGATTCTGACATCATGCTTCATACTAAGGCTCTGACAGAGAGACTGACAGCGATGGAGAAAATGCCAGTGCCAACTCCAGACACACCAGCACAGATATCCTACAGCCCTGGTGAGATATCCGCTGCCAGACTGGAAGCCTTGTTAGGACAGGTGACAGTGCAGTCAGCAGCTCCTACCTCTCCACCTCTATCTCCTAGGCTGTCACTTCCTCGACCTCTGCTTAATATGGGGACAAATCCAAGATCAGCACCACATGCTCCGCCTCCGCCTCCGCCTCCACCTCCACCTCCGCCTCCACCTCTATCTATTAGACTGTCACTTCCTCGACCTCTGCTTAACCTGGGGACAAATCCAAGATCAGCACCACATGCTCCGCCTCCACCTCCACCTCCGCCTCCACCTCTATCTCCTAGACTGTCACTTCCTCGACCTCTGCTTAACCTGGGGACACTTCCAAGATCAGCACCACATGCTCCGCCTCCGCCTCCGCCTCCACCTCCACCTCCGCCTCCACCTCTATCTCCTAGGCTGTCACTTCCTCGACATCTGCTTAACCTGGGGGCAAATCCAAGATCAGCACCACATGCTCATGTTTTCTTAGAGAAGGCAGAATGTGTGCATTCTTTCAGTGCTAAATTGAAGGGTGATCAAATTAACACGTTCGTAACTGGGCTGGCCGTAGATGAACAACTCGTGTTCACTGTGAATAGAAAAGAATCTTTTGCAAAAGAAAATAATAGAACAAATGTATTCACACATGCAGGGGAATTTAAATTTGACATTATATTAAATGAACCATTTGACGTGGCTGTGTCACAGACTGGTCACCTGTATATAACATCATCGGGTGACAAATGTGTCAAAGTGTATTCCACCAGAGGTCAGCAGGTGACAACCATGGGCCAGGGTCAAATTAATGATCCATATGGTATAACACTGAACAGTCGAGGTCATATAATGGTTTGTGACAGAAGTAAGAAATCCATTTTCACATTCCTTGCAGACAGTGAACAGCTTCTGAACACTATTCCACTCAGTATGTACAAATTACCAGAGTACATCACCGTGAACAGGTTGGATGATAACATTGTCATTTCAGACTGGCTGGGACACTGTGTACATGTGCTGTCACCTACTGGTAAACAGCTGCACCAGTATGGCACACGAGGCAGTGGTGATGGTCAGCTGTGTGGACCATGTGGAGTGTGCACAGACAGCTATGGCCACATCTTCATTGCTGACAGTGAAAACCACAGGATAGTGGTACTGAGTTCAAAGGGACAATTGATCAGATACATTGCCACTAAAAATGATGGGTTGGAGCACCCCACAGCATTAGCCATCAACCCTGCTGGCCAGCTGGTGGTAGCAGAGAAACAGGGCAAAGTTAAGATTTTTCAGTACTTGCGATGAATATACTGTTCACACCAAGGCATTGCTATACCAATTTTTATAGTTCTCTTTATAGTTACATGGTAGGAGAAATTTGATCCATATGTTAATGACTTAATGGCCAAAATTATCAAACTTTCAGATACATAATTTTATGATCACAAAAATTATATTTTTGTGTAGCATTTTTGGTGCTTTATCTGCATAAAATAGAATTTTAGAGTACTCTGTTTTTTTAATTTTTCTACTACTCAATAGGAATGTTCTAATTTTAAGAAATTGTTACTTTAAAATACCGGAACGCTATCCGGAAAATTCACAATTTCCTCCTTCATTGAAAAGATCGAGTAATTGAGTGCTGAGAAACTACAGCATGACATTTCACAGGGTACAATATAATATAAATTTCGAATCAGCGACCATGACTTAGAAATCGAAAGAGGTCGCTACACAAAACCCAAAAAACCAGTAGAAAACCGAAAATGTCCACATTGCAATGATGTTGAAACAGAAGCGCATTTCCTACTAAAATGTAATGAGCATGTGAACGAAAGAGAAAATATGATAAAAATGATACCGCCTCAATTGTCATCTGATGTAGAAAAACTTGTCTGGCTCCTCAATCCTCAAAGTGAACACTGTCTAAAAACCGTGTCTCACTTCATCCAAGAAACATTTAAAAAAGACTAGCCTGTCAATAATAATGAGCAAGTCTACCTCAATATAGAACAATGTAATTGTCATTGTGTAATATAGGTATTTTTATCTTATTATTATCATCATTTTTATTATTAATATTATTAATTTTAAAAATTATTTCCTTTCTTATAGTTTATTTTTTTCCCACATTTATAAGAAATACTTCCACTTGTTACTGTAGATTATGTATATACGGGTTGATTGATAAGTAGTGAGCCTCGTGTGGAAGGGGTTAAGCAGGGATATCCCTTTTCGGCCCTTCTATTCCCTGACTATTTAAAGGTGTGTAGCCGAAGTTTGGTGTCATTTGGTTAGTTTATGTCGACGAGGTAGCACTTTCAAATAAGCAAGGCAAGTGACTTTTGCAAAATGCCCCTGCTCACAAGTCTGTCATTGCCATGGCTACAATCAACGAGTGTGGCTTTGAACTGATAGAACATCCACCTTATTCGCCTGATCTTGCTCCCTCTGACTATAATCTATTTCCCAAATTGAAAAAGTACATTTCAGGTACTCACTTTGTGTCAGATGATGACGTCATACGTGAATTGGAGGAGTTTCTGAACGGCTTCTATAAAAGTGGCATAGAGGCTCTCAAAATTCGCTGGCAAAAGTGTACAGATACTCAAGGAGACTATGTTGAAAAATAAAGAAAAATACTTGTAAAATGTGTACCCCTTCTATATGAGGCTCACTACTTATCAATCAACCCTACGTAAGGTAATTATGAAACATATAATTACATTTGTGTTTGAAAGCCTGATATCAAATAAGTGGGATAATAGGTCTAGATATATATTACATGTATGTATAACACAAGTAGTTTAGAGGGCCTGCAAAATGTACTGAAACATTTTAGTGCTCAATAAATTATTATTATTATTATTATTATTAAATACTTTTCACATCTTTTACTCGCAGCATATACTGCACTGCTGAGCTGTAGCCTTAAAAGGAAACATGATTTGAAGTTTCTTTGATAGAAATGGCAAATTATATATTTAAGTATGAATTAACATCTACTGGCAGCATAACAGAAGGGCCAGGTTAGATCATTTCAGTACTTGTAAATAACGTTCAATGCACCCCCCCCCCCCCACACACACACACACCACCATCATCAAAAAGAAAACAAATGAAATAAAATAGAATAATAGAATAAAATAAAAAATTGGTCCAATTGTCATTGTTATCGTTTTACCACTGTGACAACTGAAGATTTGATTCAATGAATCAACTGTGATCTTTTTAAACTGTGCTTTCAATAAAATCAGAGATACACCTCAGTCTAGTTTCCTTTTTTTTTTTTTCTCAGAAATCATTTTTAGGTTAAAAACTCTGAAATCAGGCATAATCTTAAAAACTTTCACTGATGCTTAAGTGCATGGATACTTACATGTAATAATTACTAGTTCTGATAGTATAGCCCTCATCACATGGACAATTTTATCAATTAAATAGGAATATATTGGCAGACGACAAAAAAAACTATTGTGAAAAGCATAGGCTTATCACAGACTTCCTAAAATAAAAAAAATCAGATATTCGGTCTGACAAAACTTCAAAATGTGTCACATAAAAAAAAAAAAAAAATAATAATAATAATAATAATAATAATAATAATAATAAAATCTGTCAGACCGAAAAAAGTATGTATATAGCTATATTTGATGTATACATGTTTTATTTTCGAGTTGTCAGTTATATGTTATTCTCCTATCGAAATTCACAAGTTAGTCTTGGATATCTAAACATTATTCGTCCATGTCTAATTGCATGGCCAGAAATGCGCAGCATTCACTCGATACGCGAGGGCGCTACAGTAGGGCTTCACGTGACTCAACTAGCCAATCACAGCACAACAATGGCATCGCACACAGACTCTGTGAGAAGTGCTCGAGGAGCCAAAGTTGACTACCAAAAGCTGGCAAATCCTACTTGTTCATTCCCCACAAAACGTATCAGATAATAATAATAATAATAATAATAATAATAATAATAATAAACAAAACCTACGGCCACAGGGCATTTTCAATTTCAGCACCCATTTTATGGAATCAACTACCCTCACACATTCGGACTATTGATAGCGTTGAGGTTTTTCAAAAGACTTTAAAACATTCTTATTTGCACAGTATTTTAATTAATATTTTCTCATTTTATCAGAAAAGAGTTTTATTGTTCAGACCATTACCATTTTAACCAGCTTTAAATAGTTTAATTGTTTTTTTACCTTAGCTTTTATTATCTATATAATTAGTTGTAATCCCGATAATTTTACCTGTAAACAGCACTGAGACGGTAGTGTAGCGCGGTTTTAAGAAATAATAATAATAATTATTATTATTATTATTATTATTAGTCTCTGTCGCGGGAATCCTGACCAATGAAAATGACTAAATATCTCTAAGCAGACGATTCCTGCCATTCAACACATGGAATAAATCATTCTGGTTATATTATAAATTCTTTGCATTCCTGCAAGTAGGGCAATTTTCTATCTTGATAATTAGTGACAGTTTTCAATTCCTCGTGATTGGTGATTGACATGAATATATCTTCGTGATTGTTGATTGACCTGTTTTAATTATTCGTGATTGTTGATAGAGGGGTCGGGGGGGGGGCAGTACAGGGCCCCCTATATATATCAAAGACTATAAATCTCATACTATGTAGGTGAGACACCTACCTTCCTATCAGAGACAATCGCTGCTCATAATAAAGACGAAAAGCCTAACACACTCTAAGAGCCGCTTTCTACTCTGCAAGGGGCGCTGTAAAAACACACGTCCTCAGAGGCCCAGCTCTGAATCGTGTTATTCTGGTAAAGTGGAATCTGACTAGGACATGAGCCCACCACCCCCTACACTGTAGGCCTATTCCCTACCCTCTTTTTTGGACTCCATTGTACAGTGGTAAAAGTTCTTCAATTGCTATGAAAATTTTTAATCATACTCTGTATGGTGCTGTTATCTGCTGGTGCTATCGGCAACGAATTAGTTTGCCTTTGTTTCTGAGTGAATGAACGTCTAAAATCACTATTTCTGAAAATATTTGCGTTTTGCTGAGGGTGGGCTAGGCAATGCACAGCACACTTCTTAGTACGTGTGTACAACAGAATTTTTTAAAAAACCCTAGCGATATTTGGTCAGGAGTTGCTTGGAGCATAGCACAGCGTTGTTGTCTATCGGCATCAGGCCGTTAGTTTGTCAATTATCGCGAATTACCCACGAATCGCGAACCCATTCATTTTCCTATGGCAATCTAGCAACTCATTAAAATGCACGCATGAGCAGTGGGCTAGGCGTTACGTCATGCAGCGCATTTCTGGGGATGTTTAGCTTTTTCAAGTTCACGTAGCCCTGTATGAACTGATAGTGAACAATTTTTTTTGCAACTAGATGTGCATTTCAGCTGCCTGAAATACATGTAAGTTGCTGAACACCCAAACCCAATGTAGAGGTGCATTTCACATGCTGAAGTATAAAATAAAACAATAAATAAATAAAACTGAATTAATTCGGAGATGTCTTCTATTTTAAAAAACATATGTTTATAGAACAAAAACTCACGACTGTCTCAATTTTACATCTACATTTAATTTTTGTCATGTTTATTCCATTACGTAAGAAGATTAATTGGTAACATGTGCTTCCGTAGCTTATGTTCCAGGCAAGATTTGTTCCTTGTCATATATCTTTCATTTTTCGTATCATGTTCTAAATATGTTGTAGTGATTCAGTCATATTTATACCTGGTAATATAAAGCTGGTATAAGGACGTCAAGGCAAGCTTCGGGCAGAAATATTTTATCAGCTTGTGCTAAATAATTACCATCTATGTTCCAACTACCTAGCTAATGATGGATATGATTTGGTTCGGTAACCGAATGTGACTGCTGGCACATTGATACTCCGAGTTGGTAGATAAAAACAATCTAGCAAATTGATGACAATAAAATCGGGTGACAGAGTATCCTCAGCCCTGTCAACAACACACACATCCTAAAGTGACTTTTTTAAAAGTTAAAACCCCGTAATGGCGCAAAATGTGCTTTAAGGTCACGGCTACTGGCGCGTCTTCCCCACGGTTACCTGATCCCGACCACATGACAGACAACCGACCGCTCGTTCTAAAACCCGCCCAATTTATACCACAGTCACAGAAAAGGAACCTTTACAACGCCTTTGTCCTCTCAGTAAAGTTTTTAGTTTATTCACCTTGTTCGTGATGAGGAAACCATTAGTCTTTTAACATGGATTCAATATTGCTTTCTATTTGAATAATTTTGGGAAATCTATCTGCCATATTTAAAAAAATAATAAAAACGAAGATAAAAGGGACAGATACATTGAAACGTGCACACTGTCTCGAAATGACAATAAACCTGCAATTGTGAACCGAAAATGGATTACAGCCAAATTTACACAAAGCAGAACGCGAATATTAAACCGGACGTTAAAACATACCTATGCAGCGATTTCATAAAGTGGCTGTTTCAATACGTCTTAAAAATACAAAGTAAAACCCATTTTCATGAAAATGTCAATGTTATTGCTGTTTCTTGTATTTCAAATTCGACCATGGCACGTCGATGGGAATTTTAACTTACTTTTATTAAACTAGGCGTTTCCTGAATCAAATATTTTAGAGCATGATTATGTCACCGGTACTCGTATATTCGCCTGCTAAAGGCCATTTAATGAAATTCAATATATCTGGCATTATAATATGGTTTCTATGAAATAAGAGTAAATGAAAAAAACAACAGAATTTTTAATTCATGGAAATCTTGACAAAGACAGAAAATAATATTATGCGTACCAGTAGTTCAAATAGAACCAAAACCAATTGCTGGAACATTAAAAACTGAATACTTTTAAATTGTCAACTACGTTCAAGGGATGTCAAGCACAACAAAGACATAGGAGGCAAATTGGAAGTGTGGGTGGGCGAGGGGGTCAGAGTGACTTAATAACTGTACATGTACATGTAGCGTAGGACACACTGTATTGTAGTGTCAGGGAGACAAGGCAGTGGGATGGGGGGTCAGAGTGACTTATTAACTAATAAAACTGTACGTGTAGCACAAGACACACTGTGTTGTACTCTATCAGCTGATTATTGTGCGGGTCCCTTAATTTTACTCGTGAGGATTCTTCTTTATTATAACTCCGACCCCCCCCCCCCCCCACTATATGAAATAACCATTTAAATAAAAGCCGCAAGAGTTAATTGAGATCACATCTTTGGAGATCTGTTAATTGCCATGGAGATTACCAGGTTCTGTCTTAAACTCTGCACACGGGAAAGAATAAAACGACTCCATGTTGTAACTTCAGCAGAATGTGTTTTGCTTAACTAAAAGTCACATGGTACAATAAAGATCCCTTCTCAGCCTAAGTCCAATCTTCTCTCCTCCTAGCCTCTCTTAGTCTCTCTCTTTCTCTCTCTAGTCCTCCGCCTAGTTTCCCTCAATATTTATATTCACCTATATTTATATTAACTTTATCAGTTAAATTGTCAATCAGGTAAATTATAAACTGATTGGTTAATTCAAACAAAAGTCAACCCCTATTGTGGACACTCCCTATAACTCCATATAATCAAGTTCTAACGGATTATTAGCTTGAAACAAAGGACATTAAACTTTGAACTGCTACATTTTGTACATGTAGGTGTGAATGTTTATCTAAAGCTACTCATACATCTTAGCTTTCCATTCATAATTTTTTGTAAATTTTGTCAGACAAAGGAAGACTTCCACTTATTGAATTAATACTACACCTTGTATGAAACATCAAACATATTAATTTCCCCAATACGGTGTTCCCTGACACATTATGATGTACCGGTAGTGGTAAGGAGACGGGGCAGTGGGGGGGAGGGTTGACTTATTAACTAATTCAACTGCGCAAGCATCACAGAACACACTGTATTTTGCTCTAACAGCTGATCATGATGTACTGACATGGACAATCAGTAACCAGAGAGGAGAGGTGAAAGGGGGGGGAAGGAGAAGAGAAGAGAGGGCTATGACATTATTGATCGGCCCTTAGCACTC